TTATTCTAATTACAACACTTGTTTTATGCAAACATTTAGATCAATTAGCCTCTATTATTGCAATTTGTCAGCAAAATTGCTAATATCGGTATTTTCAGTGCATCAATACATTCCATTTAGTATTTCTTTTTTGTCAGAGTTATAGCTCAATCTGCAAGACAAGTTTGAGGTCAGTTTGCATAGTCCAAATATTAATATTGAAGACAGAATGAGAGATGCTAGATTCCTCGTGAGATGAACCATTTGAAACAATGGAAGTTAGCAAAATGTTCTAAAATATATTTGTTATTATCAACTTTTCCAGATTCTATTTAGAATCTTTCCGGAAAAATATTCCTCAGGAATGATAATTTGACGAGGAAAAATCTAACAATTTTCTTATTTCATTTGGCCGAATATGCATCTTTCTTTTACCAAATTGTACTTCTAAATCATTCGCAAAACTAAAAAACGAAATACTCGAAAATCAAAAATATCCTTTATTGATTTTTAACCACTGAACGAACCAAATCAATGCATCATATTTAGCTGAATCAAACCTTTAATCCTCTTCTGAATTCCAATCGCTTTTTCATAGCCTTTCACTTTATTAATGTTTTCCTTCAGTAGCTACTTCGAAATTCAGAAAAAAATTTAGATGACAAAAAAAGAGAAACTTAGAGGAAAATTCAAAAGGATGAAGTTAAAAGTAATAAGATTGTTAGAAATAAATTCTCGTCAAGCAACACTGACAAATTCTTTGTGAATTGTTTAGAAACGAAATAGCTAACATTAATCAATGAGCCACCATTGAAGCATGAAAAATTCATTCGACCATACTGAATGCCATGCCCCGCTGAATTTTCATCATTGCCAAAAGCTGGTCCCGTCGTTGCTGCGACAACAGGAATTTGCGAGGCAATCAAGAGGATGAGAATGTGTTCGGTGAAGTGGAAATCAGTGGGTATTTTCATTTCTTGACTGCCCTGAAATTTCTCGTCATTTGTTCAATTTTATTCTATCAATAAATTTAATAACGACATCTTCTTCGGTCTAACGCAACAACATTAATCATAGAAGTACAGTTAACTTTCTGATAATAAGATAATGAATACTTCAAATTCATTCCTGTGTATAATTTGACAATTTCAATTCATTTCAATTCAAATTCATTCCCATGTATAACCTGATAATTAATGGGAAAATTAATTTCAAACTTGTTCTATTCTTGTTCCTTCCAAATGATAAAAATTAAAAGATTTGGACATTTTTTCAACCTTCATTTTTCTGATATTTCTTGCAAAGAGTATAACCTTAAAAATATCTCTTTTGTTGGCTGTATTGATTTGATCAAATGAAAAATCACAAAAGTTTGTGGTTGCTAAATTAACTGTCAACATTTGTTATCTTTTGAGATAGCAAGCAAAAGGACTGTATCATCATTTTGAATATGTGAATTTTCATTAAGAGAAGAGCTGACCAATATTTTGAGATAAAAGATTGTACCACAACACTCACATTTGCATTTAAAATACATTATACATTTTGTTGCAGGGAATATTAAACGGTAATTCAATTTCATAAGGATTTTTAAATATGATTCTCAGAAATTCGCTCAACTGCTGAGTTTTAATTGCGATTGAAGTGCAACAGATCAAAAAGACTTGTTCGTGATATTTTATTGATAATTGTCAAGAACTAATTGCGCCTGCCAATCTTTCAATTTTAAGCTAATTAAATATCCCAAATGCCACTTGAACAGAAAAAGCAACAAAAGGATACATTCGAAAACTCAAACTATTATCCTTTAATGCTAAAAAGTGATGTCAGAATGGTACGAAATAACTTTTACGAATTTCAATATTTCGTTAAACAACTATGTTCATAATAAAAAATGAAATGATATTGATAAAATATAAGGACAGATGAACAAATAGAATTCCCTTAGATTCTACATTCCATTCGGTTTTTAATAAAGCCATCTTCGGACACTTTTAGAGAAGTGAAAAATTAATAAATGCTTACTTATGGTTTGTTGGAGGCAGCAAGGAAAGTATGATAAACTTTAGTCTTGTTAGAGCAAAAATTAACCATTCAAGCTAATCGGAAGCAAAAAGTCTTATATGGTTTGTTGAGCGCACACATTTGACTGTCAAAACCCGCAAAACATAAAATTAAGATTTGTCCATTGGACATTCTATGCAGTTTAAGATGTCCTAATTGATCCAATTAGTATTTCCTTCTTCATCGTGCAATGAAAGAATACATATACATAGCAAATAAATCAGTTCTTCTAAACTCTAATGAGAATGAGTTATTAGTATTTTGGACTATTTTACCGGGCTTTAGCTAAATCCGCAAAATTCTATCCTTTCGTGGGCGGGTCAGCAAGGCAGTAATGAAACTATTAGAAATTTTCAATTTTTAATAGGAAATTGTTACCTTTAATCCATTGATAAGATGTAAAAGAAAGTGATAATGATCAAATGGAACTATGGTGTGAATCAAATGGTTGTATGAAATCCAAGCAAAAATTATATCACAGAATTTCAGCACTATAAAATCTTATTCTTTTCAGCAGAAGAGAACTTGTATCTTTTCAGCAAAAATATTTTCTGTAACACAAATTGTGAGATGACTTTGGAAAATATGTAGTTGAAAGTGAATGGTAGGTAGTCAAGACAAAATTTCTGAAGCAATTTCAATGGAAGATGGCTTGCTGTCATTGAGCGGTAAGTAAAAGATAAATTATAGTAAATAGAGATGAATGAGCAATAAATGATGCAAATCAACGAAATGGTCATCATGTAACCTATTTGGAGCAATCTAACAACTATTTTGTTGGAGCTACCGGAAATTTCAATCAAATCGCTTTCTCATGTGTTTGGTAAGATATTTGCAGCAAGTTGAAACGATGATTCCCACAAAATTGGAAATGACATTTGACTTTTAGAGACTGCCAATTATTCAGCAAAACATCTCAAAACGTTTGTTAGCATTAAATTATTAAAACTGTGTCAAATGCTTAAGCTCAATTTGCAGTTAAATTCATTTCTCTCCTACATTTTCTTTATTGTCCCTCCTGTGAATGGATAATATGATTGATTATAAAAAATTTCAAAATGAATGTGATGACTTTATAAGTACTCTTAAAATATCTTACTAAAATATCAAAATTTTCAATGGGAATATACAACATTCATACAAAAGAAAACCGCCACAAAAAACTTTTTTGAAATCTTTCTTTCTTATCATTTACAACAATGTATAAAAACAGTGTTATCAATTGCGGAAGGACATGAATTCATCACTTTTTACATAAGCAAGCTATGTATATAATAAGCATAAGGAGCAGATCATCAACAAATGACTTAATTTTTGATAAGCGACATTATTAATTAACAACACGTCGTATGATGAAAGAGTTGAGCCAGGGAAAATTGTCACACAAGTTAAAATACTCAGTATAATAGTAAATTAATTCACATAACGAGGCATATCACTTGAAACAATAATCGAAGAGAAAGAGATTGCCCAAGTGTGAGAGCCATTGGTCACTCTTCTCTCACAAATAGTACATATATCCGATTGTTTTGCTATGATGATATTGTCCAATATTCATCAATATAGCTAGTGAACTGATGTGCAAAAGTTCAGACATATCTTCTTAACCAGTATCTTGGCTGAAGCAATCAACTAACTGCTCTCTGTTTACAGTGATCATTCCAATCCGCGCTTCATTAGGCTGAGTAATCCGTAGGCCTGCAGCAACCGAAATCTAACTGTTATTGGAAGCTTATTCACTAATTATGGTATGCTGTAATAAACAATAAGCTTAATAAGTGAAAACTGCTTGATTAGAAGATGCGTATTCATTAAACTTACCCTTACCTTTACCACCAGAAAGAGCTTAATCTCAACTCACCGAAGCAGGTAAATTCAAATCTTTAAAATTCTTGTAGAGTTTCATCAAGGTTTTGAGAAGCTGTTACAAACACTTTTGAATTAACTCTGTCAACAGTATTATCAAGACCAAAACAAAGGAATTATTTTCGAATGATTCTTTGATTGATTCCAAATACATGAGACAATAAATACCAAAGGTCACTTAAAAACTAGATATGGGATCTTTTTGGAGTGAATTCACGAAATCAAAAAATATCCAGAAGCGAAACAATAGAATCATGATTATAGTTTTTTACGTCAGAAATAGCAAAAACTAATTTAGAATGCAATTATTATCTCCGTATTCATAATTTCAATATCTTCGTATAATATCACATTCATAATTTCCGTATTCATAATCACTGATGACCGATGACCTTCAATGTTAGTTTGACGAAATATTCGACCTTGATATTTAATCAGCCAAAAATCAAAACCAGCCAAATAAATGAAAAGTTAACAATTGAAACTTGTGAAATTAGCTCAGTCATGTAAAAATTTACTTATCATTATCTGAGAGGAAAGATTTTTTTTCACATCTTCTCTGATGAGACAAAGACGCACGGTTATTTAAATGCAGAAAAATAATGAAATAAATATCCTTGAAATATATCATAGAAGAGCTTTAGATTATTAAATCAAAATGTAGATAATCAATTTCATGTACTTTGGTTAGCAAAAAAATTTCATAAAAAAATCAAAGTAGCCACAATTCAAGAAAATTTGAGAGAAAAATCGCTTCATGAGCTTTACATCAAATATTTATGGTTGAGAGGGTATTTAGACCATCGATTGGAGGACTATCACAGATTCTTGTTTGTGGTCAATTTTCTACAAAACGATAAAATTGGATTGTTCATTGCATGTTGTGTGTCATTTGTTCCACAAGGCGATCGTCTTGCTTTGTTATTCACACGAGAAGAGTCCAGTGACAATCGAAATGAGTGCAAAATTCATTTCTAATTTTCTAGAGACGACACTTACATAAATTTTTAGTCTGTTATAAATATTTTTTATTATTTTCTTCTTTTATTAGGCATTCTCAACAAAAAGTATTCATGAGAAAAAATTAACTGTGAAAAACTGTTAATTCATTTAATTGTAAAAATAATTTTCTGATAAAGACATTACTTTTGAGAAGCAAAATCTGTCGCAGTAGGCTTTTAATGGGAAGAAATCAATTGTCAAATTTCAAAGATTGAAAGACCAGTAGCGACAGAAGATTTTGAACGGTAATAATAAATCCCCAAAGTTTGCAGAACAGTCTCGTCATGCTTAAGGTTAGGAAAAGGGGCACGCTTTATAGCAGCAGCAGCAGCAACAACAACAATTTGAACAAGTTCTAGATGATGGAGAGGTCAAAGAGATCGATAAGATTTTAAAGATAGAGTGGAAGTGGACAGTAAATAACGATGATCGCATTTTTAAAAGAAAAAGAAAAAAATTTTCCACATCATTCGATACTCTATCTAAAGGGGAACAATGAGCATCTACTAAAAATAATTCAAAAGATTTTCGAAAATCTTAAGGAAACTGCATTCTGAATATCAATAAACAAGAGTTTTCTTGCTATGAAGTGTGATATCATTTGGTGAAATGAATGAAATGGATTTATGAGAGGATTGCACAGGCCTATATAATAATAATAAAAAGATTGGTTATGGTATATCGGAGGAGTAGGATAAATGATTGCGGGATATGAAGGGATGTGAAGGAGATTGATAGGAAAGACTAGATGAATTAAGAAAATTGAATAATGCTGGATGTAGAATAGGAGCGGTCAAAATGAACACTTAAAAGTGTCATAGCATGACAATTGCAACGATCCCGCTTGGGATTAATGTTAGTGCTAGGCATGGATCAACTTTAGATTCGCATTCTTGCGCATTATTATTTCTCTTTGAAAAAAATATTTCAATCTATTCTGCTGCATATTTTTGGATATTTTTATTCTGTCCTTCAAATCTAATAATTAAATTTTTTTAATGTAATTTAGAGTAGAAATGATTTTATGATATACGTGATGTGCAAAGATTAAATTAAATCCATTTCATATCATTATGCATCGCCCATTTGACATCGCCCAACAGAATTCAATTCGAATCGATTAAACATCTTGAACTGCAGGCTATCCTTTTATTGTATTTTGAATGGCCAATCTGGCTTCTCAAATTTTAACTTGTCGCATACGATGGAAGCAAGTTTAGAAAAGGATGAGCAAAAAAAAAAGGAAAGAATAACAAGCTTTTCAATTATAACAGCTGCTTGTTAGGTTCGATTTAAATATTCCATATGTATTTCAATGCCCCTTTAAACAAAAGCTTTACATTTCCAATGTAATGACCTGAGATTGCTGGAAGAAATAGAATAGAAAAAGATGGGAGCAGACATGTGAAAATAAGACCATGTAACATGATTGGACCGGAAGAAGAGGATTAGCTTTGCATAATGAGGAGATTGAAGAACGGAAATTTGCATAAGCCTCCAAGCTCTCCTCGTAACCGGTATCATTACCAGTATCAGAGCCAAGTATACATCATCTTAAAACTGTTTTTACAGATAGCATTTCAAACAAATAATAATTTGATAGTTATAAAATGGATTTTGTGAGAATTTAATTGCATCTGTTGTTAAATAGCCTCTTCAGAACATTTTCTCGAAATTCTCAAATTTAGAAAGGAAAATTTCAACCAACTAGCATATTGTATCAAGCTAATAATATTTCAGAAAGGCATGAATTCGGATGAGCATGGCAAATAAGTTGATGCAAAGACTAAAGTACTTCTCAAAGTTTTATAAACTCTTTCAAATAGCTGTGACCACGATTTCAAAGATTTATTAGGCGCAAGCTCAATACTCAGTCTGAGGAAAGCTTATAACTGACAAACATCTGAATAGAAATATTTCAAAAGACAAACGAATATTGTTCAGACAGGTACAGTTCTGATTCTCATGAATTATTCCACAATTAAAGAACAGTGATTAGAGCGGGAGAAGATAATGTAGAAGTAAAATGAATGGGAGAAAGAGTCCTCTAATACACTAACGACCAAAGGAAGAGTAAAGGATTAACTAACAGCAATTAATTTATTTGCTGTAATGCAGATAGACAGAAATTAAAATGAATAATGACCTTTCATGTTTTCTAAACTTACAGGTGTCGCATGATACTGCAATTTTTGATACTCTTCGGTTCGGTTGGTATTTCCGTCCAAAACTGCATTTAAAATAATATCAAATCACTGAGATGATTCGAAGTTTCATTCAACAGAATCATTGTTATGAATGATTTAGCTTATCACTTTGCAGTGGCTAGGGAGAGGCAGTGACACGTGGTGGTGGTCATTTAAGCTTGATCTTCCCAGTCAATTTGTTCAAATTTATTAAATGTTTTGAGAATTCAAAAATTGAAAAGTCTAGTTTCTGGGAACTTGAGGATTCTTGAAGAAAGACAAGTTATTGTTTATAGGGTTAATATGTTCGACCAGTAAAATTAAAGAAAGGCATAGTATTGACCATTTTCCGGGTCAACAGAGCAGATTTCAAAGTGCCCACATATGAACATTTCGCCGCACATTTGTTGCACCATCGCTGAATGGTACTTCAAAGGAAGTTTTAGGTTATGGCAGTGATCGTAATACAAATATTATTCGGTGGGATGATGCTTAATTGACTCTCCGAACAAACAATGAACTGTGCATCATAATTACTCAACGCTTTTTGTACTGTAAAAATTAGAAGACAGTAATATTTATTTTCCGTTTTGCATATTAGTAAAAGATTCTAAGTCAGATGCACAAACAGGTTTCAAGCAATTGCTGAAGAAGGCAGTAAATTATGAAATATCGGTCGAGATATAATAGGATTTCCGATTGCAAAAAGAAAAAACTTGAACAATTGATACAAGGAAGTATATATAATTTGGTTGAAAAACGTTCAAACGCCTCGAAAAGTTCGGATGAAGACAGGAAAAAGTGTATGATGAAAGCAAAACTGAGATGTGATGAAGTTTTTCTTACACTGGAATTATTTACATAATTAAAGATCGAATGAACGACTGATATGTTGTAGATATTGAAGTCCTCTATCCACTACGGTATTATTAAGTAAATTATGTAAAAGATGTCATTGCCATGATAACGTGATACTTTTATGATCTTGTCATATAATCTTTAATCTTCCAAGAGTTACATCAGTATTACCTGGTAAAGCGTGAACTTAAGCGGCAGTTTATGCCTTATTATTAAGTTGTAGAAACATGCTCGGAATGATGTGAAATTTTAGTTTTATTGAAACATTATACAGACGAACAAGCAAAAGGATAGAATGTGTATGAATAATATGATTATAATTCAGCTGATTATCATTATTACCATGCAAAACCATGATTCGAATTCATGACCTTTAACATTTAACAGTTAGTTCCCACCGCAAATGTAAAAGAATTGCAATCACTTACTGAATAAAGTTCAAAATTCTTGCTGTCCTCTATCCATCACAACGTCATTAATTTTGATTATTATAAAAGATGCCACTGACCATAATAACGTAATTTTATGACGTTGTTGTGTAACCCTTAATTTCACAACAGTCACATTAATATTACCTATAGTGAGATGTTGAAGATAATAAATGAATTGAATCGATTATGTAGTATGGCCTTGTGTTTCCTCTCCCTTATAAAAATTTGAATTTATTTTCTTTCATAAAAAATATAAACGTCCTATTTAAAAGAAAAAAGTTGAGCTTAAAAGTTATTGGTGTGGTAACTTGTGAAGTTGACTTTTTTCCTCGAAATTAAAGGGAAGCAAAGAGCAAGAACTGTGAACTAGGATTTAAATGTAGAACTATAAAATATCATCTTATATTTTTGGTAATAGTAGTACTCCATCTGGTCAGACGAACAACAACGCATTTCAAAAAAGGTGTAATAATTTGTAATTTGGATGTTCAACGTGGCCATTAATCCGTTTTTGTTGGGATCATGAAAGACACAAACTGGGAATCAAATATGCAAGGTCAGCAACAAGCCAGGCTCATCAATAATTACACCATTATAATAGGCCATATTAATTGCACCTAGTGCGACACATCTGCATTTCCCTTTTTTACTTCTCGTATTAATGCCATGACAAACAATAATTATTGCAGTTAATTTCAACCATTGAAAAAATCTATTGATATGTTTTAAATATTATCCAAACAGATTGATTGCACGCTCAACTTCAAGCAAATTTGGAAATGAAACGTCATCATCCCCATCACCTCTGGTATCGTAAGAATCATGATAATTAATAATTAAGGCTCAGTTATCTAAACATAAACTGATAAGTGGATCTTATGGCAGCATTTGTAATTTATCCTCAACTATTAATAACTGGCACTGCTTTAATTAACAATGATGAAAATAAGCTGAAAAGAATATAAATTTCTAATAAAAATATTTCATTCCAATAAACTAATTGAATAACATTTCAGAAGTGAACGGAAAAGATCTGAATGGAAGACGAAAGCAAATCTGAATTTCTATATTTATCTGACTAATTTAAAAAAAGAAAAAAAGGATGTACAAGAAGTTTATGTTTCAGGTTGGCGATAAGTAATGGTGGCCAGTTCAATTACTGCTCAACAAATTTATATGTATTATTATATACCAGTTAATTCCTCTGAGAATTACCAATTTGAGATATTTATGATATAAATCTTTTAGCAATCCGATTTTTGATCTTACGACTTTAGGATTGTGTAGTTTGAAAAAATTTAAACAAAATAATATTCCACAATCTTTGAGTCAAACATAATGCTTAGGTGTAGTCTTATAAATATATGATATACACCCGTCACAAATCCTGAAATAAAGTGTTTTAATGAGATGTGATTAAATATTATTTCAAAGTCAATTTTGTCTTCTTCGTCATCTAGTTTTACCTTCAAATAATTCTGACTTTCAAATCTTATCTCAA